CTCTGAAACGTTGGTTAACATCGACCAGACTACACAGCGCAATAACCCAGAAGACGGATATCTTCATACTCACCGCTGTGAGAACCTCAAGTCTTACATTCTACTATATTCCATTATATTTAACGTCTCTGGTTAAAAATCGTCGTTAAATAAACAAATAATAAAAATTTATCTTGTGTATACCGAGAAATAGAAAGTTATGTAATTTTATTTGTCAGCAGTAAAGCATGACACGCAAAATGTGCGATATTGGATAACTGTTTCTACTAGGACGGACACATTTGAGTGCGACTGATGCAACTGTTAATGTCCTGTGGAATCGTGTGGACCCGGCGACTTCTTGTCCAGCAAATCATGCTAGCGTCGACAGGGTGGGCGGACAAATTGTAGCGGTTTATGGAGCAGCGCACAATGGTGGTGCCAGCGACCGGCAGAGTGATCGATAAACAGAATCCAGGGGCTGTCACGACCCTAAACCCGTCGAGTATTGGAACGCGAGCTTTGCTGATGTATTCGGTACAGACATTGCCTGTTCAGCAAAATAATGAGCAGATTGAATGGCTTTAACACTTGCTGGCCTCATCAGGAGGCAGGCCGAAGTTATCTGCAGTTAGCAGTTACCAGTCAAGGGTGTCACTCAATCTTCAGCTTACTCGTGCTCGAATTAAATTCAGAATAGTCTATCTTCCTGCTCTTACCTTGTTGCTCTGTAATTCCATAATCATTTCAGACACGTGTCTTCTATCTGCATGGTCATTCCATCTTTTATCACGTTATATTATGTAGAGATATAACACAGACATAGGTCACGTATTGCATTATGTTTGTCAAATATTGTATATCTAATTGCTTTGATGTTCTTTTTTTTTCATCCAATGCATATATTTGTTATTTTTTATGTTATTAGATATGTACTCCTGAACATTACTTTATCAAAGTGTTTGCAGATTGGCGGTAACTGTCCTCTATGTCTTTGCGCCGTGTAGTATGGTAGAAATTTACCAAAGTTTTAGAAGCTTTTGCTGCCTCCATGATGAAGAACGCTGCAAGGCAAAACAATCCAGAAGACAGCCATCTTCCTGCTAGCCACCGAAAGAAAATGAAGTCTCACATTGAAACTTAATATACTTCTACTAAATCAATGAATTTTCTAAACCTTCTAAACCACTTACTTTTCCAGAATATTTATATCCACGTTCTAGTAGCAGTGGTTAATTATCTAATATATTCTCATGTGTTATTAATTGTTTTTAATTCAGTAACATAAATTTTCATGTGAGATCGATTCATTATAAATTTGATTTATGAATTTTGTTGAAATAAACTAACTAGATGGCTTACATCACCGAATTAACCAAAGCCCTCCACCAGACCCTGTCCTCGGACAGCAAATTCCAGTCTCCTTCAACTCCAATCTCCCATAGATCCCGCCTGAGATTATCCTCCCATCTACGTCTAGGTCTCCCCAGCGGTCTCTTCCTCTCAGGCTTCCCAACCAATACCCAGTGCACACGTCTTGTCCCATCAATGCGAGCTACATGCCCAGCCCATCTCATTCTTCTCGACTTAATCACTGTGAAAATACTGGGGGAGGAATTTTTAAGTTCGTCATTATGCAGTTTTCTCCAGACCCCATCGACTTCTCTCCTAGGTCCAAATATCCTCCTCAACACCCGATTCTCAAACACCTGAAATTTTGTTGAAATAAATGAAATACAAAATTCAGTGTACAGATATAACCGAAAAACTTTTTTAAACCGTTAACAGAGATTTTTTTTCTTCAATTTGGTTCTCGTTGCTGAACACTTACCAACTGGTTCTGGTACGCTGTAACCGCTGTGAAAACAGATTCGGGGAAAATGAAAGTCTTGAATTCTTCCGACTCTAGGTCCGTGATTGGAGCACTTCCAGATGACTCGTGACGCTTCACAAGATGAATCCGAGGTTGATATTTGTGCATCGAGTTGAGAACCAGCTGGAACAAAAAGAAATTAAATTGTTATATTCACGATATATTTTTTTGTAAAAACAATTTTTGCTATCGCATTATATCTTAAGTTCCAGAGGCTACTTAAAAAAGATATAATAATAATAATAATCCGTGGCGTAACAGCCCTCTGAGAGCCAAAGCCGACTAGCTCTCTGCTAGCCTCACGTTCAAATGCCTAAGCAGAGGTGAACGATAACCGTATCACCGGTTCGAAGCATGACACCTCAGACCGCGCGGCTAAAAGAGATATAAAATAGTTGAATCTGATTTAATAAAACCAATAATATCGATATAAGATGGATCGTTGTTCAGTGAAAAATTTACCTTACTTTGGTACAGCAAATTTTAATAGACTCGAGCACTACAACAAACTTGACATTTCAGGAGAGAAACTTAAAATCTCTTTCACAGACTTTGTCATACCATTGCATAGGAAATGATGGTTAAGGAGTAATACAACATATAAAGTTATTAAGACTGATGTACGATATGTGCAATGCAAAGAAGTGCCTTTACCACTAATTGTGACAAAACATAGAAAAATTTAGAAATAACTGTGGCACAGAAGTGCCTTTACCACTAATTGTGACAGAACATAGAAAAATTTAGAAATAACTGTAGCAAAAATAGCCTAAGTAAATTATAGAAAACGGGTAATCTTAAATGCGAAATACATTATGAAAAACACTGAAGTGATTCACATTATAAATGTTAATACAGAATAAATTGAATTCAAATGTAGTTTTTTAATTTTAATTTTTAATTTAACTTTTAATTTTAAAGGAAACAATTTTTGAGTGATTTGTTGGTTCGATCAGAATCCCTGATTATATTAGTGTAATATGCCATCAGCAATTATACGGCTTACTTGTCATGTCTCATTGAATTTTTAATCTTTTTTCAGCCTAGGAAACTGTTTTTTTGTGTCAGTCTTCAAAACAAAATACCTGTGAGTGGTAGTCCTTCATGACAAGTGTGCCAACTCACGTTTAGAGCACATGCATCCTGAGTTGATGACTTTTCTCAGTCGGAAATATCTGGGTTTATAAGCATAACAGAGACTAGTGGAACTTGCACGATTTCAGCACACAAGGGACTAGCCTACCTGCCTCCACAAAATAAATTTCGGTCAATATTTTTGTTTTAAAAAGTGTAACATTTTTTATGAAATCAACATTCTCATAAAATTAAGTACGCAAATATACAAAATTATGATTATTAAAAATTAATTATAATGAATACAGAACTTGACCGGTAAAATTTAAAAGAAAATAACAGTTAGAGATGTAGATTACGAATATCTAAATTTTATCTCAGTAGCCTCCAGTGGCAGTGTGTGTTAAATAGGTATTTATCTCTGTGTTTAAACAAATACAAGAAATTCTTTGATAGGTTAAATAAGTATGAATCTGTCGAGGACCACAAGGAAATTAGTTTCATCCATTTGGAAATGTATTTTACGAGATAACATTTGTAACCTCAAAAACTATTAAGAAAGCACATTTTCATTTCAGTGTTGCAGAGCAATACGGTTGGTATATTTTCAACCACGGATCAAGGGACCTTTTAATTTATGGTCCTAAGTGTAAATTAATTTTAAAATAGGTTTATAAATACCCATGAAACTCACATGCCCGTGCTTGTCCATCTCGTTGTTGGTAAGTTTGACTTTCTCGAAGGAGACGACTTGCTTCCTGAGCTGCTCTCCAGTAAAGGGCGAATCCGGGTGCATGTAAAGGCGACAGGGGGCGGGGGGATCCGCCTTACCGGCCACGAGCCATGAAGACCGGTGATATGCGTATCGATACCTTTTGTTGTCCACCGGAACAATGTCCATCAACACAGCGTATCTCTGGTCGGGCCGAATCCCAGTGAAGGAGACGCGACAAGTGGGGAACATCCGCCTGCGGAACAATAACACACTGGATTAACGTTGGAACATCCACCTGAAGAACAATAACACACTGGATTAACGTTGGAACATCCACCTGAAGAACAATAACACACTGGATTAACGTTGGAACATCCACCTGAAGAACAATAACACACTGGATTAACGTTGGAACATCCACCTGAAGAACAATAACACACTGGATTAACGTTGGAACATCCACCTGAAGAACAATAACACACTGGATTAACGTTGGAACATCCACCTGCAGAACAAGAACACACTGGATTAACGTTGGAACACCTACCCGCAGAACAAGAACACACTGGATTAACGTTGGCATATACGCCTGCAGAACAATAATACTCAGCATTAGAACTGTATAATTCTGCAGATTAAAAACACACTTAATAGACTATTATTACATACACCTACAGAACATTACCAACATAATTCTGCAGATTAAAAACACACTTATTACATACACCTTCAGAATATTACCAATGGGAGATTTGTCTGTATAAAAAGAGCACTATTAATATTGGAGCATCTGCCACTACAGAAAGAACACGCAGCATCACATTCAGAACAAGAACGGGGCTAATATACGAACATCCGCCTGCAGAACAACATAGCTCAGCTTTAACATTGAAACACCAGCTGTAAAACAAAAATGCATTTAATACTGGAACATCTGCATGCAAAACAAGAACACACGACACTAATAATTGAAAATTACCCTCAGAACATGAACGTAGTTAATACCACAACGTTTACCTTCAGAACAACGCCACTTGTGGAACAAGTTTATTCTGTACATCGGTATAAATATTTTCTCCCAAGAAAAATTAATTTTAAATACAGATATTTTACTAGCGTTGTTGGGACCGCACAAATTTCGTATGTGCTAATCAGGCTCCTTTGTTTATTTTAATCTTCGTTGTACAACGTGTAATTGTGTGTACATAAATTCATTTCCCATAAAGAGACGTACTGATATGGTAATATTTCCAGCACACAGACTAAACAAATCCATTATTAAAATATTAATACCTTCTTGCTGTTTAGTTATTGATTATAAAGTATCGTCTTTTGTTAGCTGTAGAGATTCTACAATGTAAACAATATTAAATTATGTTATTTCAAAAGTTGTCTATATAAGAGAAATTTGAGAGCACTGGTACATAAATTAGGTATATTTTGCCTTGTATTTTGTTCAGTGTGGCTTATTAAAACAAATTATGTTTCAAATAAAATACAGATTTTTAGATTCCAAATTTAATACGAAGAGCAGCTTTTAAATTCAAGAATTCCATATGAAATAAGTTTTATAATCGAGCGATATGGATTAAAATTAAATTCTTCGTATAACTCTATTTTACATTTTGATATTGAGTGTAATTTTAATAATTTAAATGATATGAGGAATAGAATGTTATGGCATACACAGACAAACATTTTATACTGAAATGTATTTACTTTTATGCACTTCCTAAACCGAAGATATACAATTTCACATAAAAACAATGCATAAGCTTTTAGTCACAAATATGAAAAAAAAAAGTTATGATTCTGGTGCAGAACGGGCAAAGAGGAGCATTGAATACAACTGTGGGCATTCTTTTGAGTGGGTATAATTATGAAGAGCATGAAGGGCATTTTTGTATCTTGTATTTCAGATTTCTGAATCTAGAAACAGTTATCTCCTAACTTTCCAAGACTGTAACCTATGACGTGTATAACGTGTATAACGCACTGTATCGTGTACGTTTTGTTTTGTATTCATTCAACGCTTGTAACTACAACATTATATTGCAACATGCTTAATTGCTTAATCTATAGCACATGACGTCGTGCGACTGATACGCGTGACCAGAGCTCCAGTACTTTTTCGATTTTTGATTATACCTGTGGTAAATATTGATAAACATGCAGTGCACCTCCAAATGATCATAAATGGAGACATTAGATTTTTTATCAAACGACTTGCAATGTGAATAAATATGCTCCACCCTCCAGTTGATGAGACAGTTTAATTTTAAAATATATCCTTTGGCCTTTATTGAAATCTGAGGTTTGTGTGCATACTAACTGCAGACTGAATCGAGAAATACACGCCAGAATTTAGTTCAGACATCTATCTTCTCCTGTATCTGATACTAATAACTGCATAAGGCTCTTCGTAACCAAGTGGTAATTATTCAGCTGTCTGTCATTGATTAAAAATCACTACGTTGAACCCAGAAGATCAATATCGACATTTTTACCGCTGTAGGAACACCAAATCTCACATCATCCCCGTCATCTGTTAACATATTATTGTAACAGAAATTAAGTAATTGTGTTTAACATATATATTTATTATTCAAGTCATATACACAAACTTTTAAATTTTAAATTTTAACATCAATAATTTAAAAGTTTGTGTATATGACTTGAATAATAAATATATATGTGAATTTAAACACAAACATGACGCATCAAAACTATAAACTATAAATTGTGTTTAAGTTAAACGTATAGTTATGTTAAATTGATGATTTTAAATTTTGTGGTGCTGTGGTTAAGCACCGATATCGTGATCACCTAATGTTTCACACCCTTTTTCCTTAAATTCCATCACAGTAAGCCTAGGTCTTTCGGTCATTTCCCTCCATGGGTCGAGTTAAAGAACAAGAATATTTGAAGTTTAATTAAAATAATCTTAAAACTTTGCATACCGTGTAGTGTATTAGATATAAATAGGCAAACAAACAACTATTAAGACTATAAAAAAGACACAATTGCCATACGCGTTTCAACCTCAAGAGGTCATCATCAGTGGCATCAGGGAAATCAATTCATTTAATTAAATGTCTCAAACTTGATTTAGAAAATAAATAATGAATAGGATATTTGACGAAAGTATTTTAAGCGACACTACACCAGATGTTGTTATTCATAGGAATAGACTCTACGCTTAGATATTTGTCCGGTGGTCCGGTGGCCGTAGCTGGTTGGCGGCGAGCTGCAGTTGCGTCGTCCTTACCTGTGAACTCCAGAACTGTTCTGGAGTTCACAGGTACGGACTTTTTAGTAAGGTTTAATATTTAATAAATGGGGCCAAATTCTACTTTGAACAATGTTGTCAGTATGTAGAATATGATATGATACATTCTGTAAATTCGTCTATATGTATGACCTCAAAAATATGTAAGTACTGATTTATATATTTTTTGGTAGCTGAAACCCTAACCTATATGACAGATATCCTGGTAATTGTGAGTTTGTAACATATATATATATATATATATATATATATATAAACATGACTTAATGATTACGTGTAACATGAATAATCTACTTACGAACTGCAAAATTGAACCATAACTGTAAATCTTGCAGAATGACGCTGTGTTGCACACAGTAATTGAGGGATACGACAAACGTCAGACCTCTGCCTCTTTGTCAGCAATAAACTAAGCGGGATATTTCACTTTGATTAAACAGAAACAGAACTGATGTTCAGAGAACGTATACAATGTCTAGGAACGTGTAGGAAATATACAGATATGTATCTTCCATCGTGTTTGAGTCATCGAACAATCGTATGTTAGGAATTTTACGTGTTTCACTCATCTGGGACAAATTTTGATCGAGAAGATGGCTATCTTCCGGGTTGTAGCGCCGTATATTCTGTTTCAGAGGTTCTTAGTGCCTCCATCATCAGGACGATCTTCGTAATCACCGCAGTGAAAAAAACTTATATCCTACTTAATTTTTGCTCAGTTTTACCTTCCAACAGCTACCAATATAAGAATATTTACGTAGAAACCTTGTATATAAATATCATATAATAGTATAAGGGCGATGCTTATTGAAGCCTACAAATTATTTGTTTGTGAGATCTGACGTTCTCAGGGGAGCTGAAGATTACTTTTATTGTAGTGTTGTGAGTCCTAACGCCATGTGGTCTTGTAGATGGTTACAAAACATTCGGAGGAAGGTGTCGCCTTATCCTGAAGCGTTATTAACCACATTCATGACTACGTGATGTCGTAATCAGGAAGACTGCGATAAACATTTATGTTTTTGTTTTATGTACCACTTCATAACAATATTTGTTAAAATTTTTATGCTGATAATACAACTAGAAAGTATACGATTTAATTGGAATTTTATTCAGATAATTCAGGAGTGTGTATGATTACCTTCTGTACCTCGGTGGCATCAGCCTGCCTTTTATTTTATGAAAATATATTTAGATATATTTAAAAATTAACGTGCAAATTTGAAAAACATAAGGGATATTTTATTAGCCCACAGATAAGTGGCAAACGATGATAGCTATAATTTCATTTTATTGTCTGAACTAACCTAAGTATTAACCTAGGCGTACACTGCATTTGAAAACCCTTATTTATGTGGTACTTTCACTTAAGTTTTTCGGTCTGCCGCAATATTGCTATTATTGTTCGTAGTGAGTTATAAGGCATAAAGATACGGTAGCTTCGAATTACTTGTTGCACTTAACAAAATGTTGTCAATTGTTTTGTATTTATTTAGAACCGAAAACAGACTTTCGTCAAAAACAAACAAGAAGTCTACTGAAAGGCATTATTATTATTTATTTAGTGTTCTGTCTGGCGACAGGTCCATATGGACAGGATCCTTCCATCCTTCTCTCGGACTGGGACCTGTTCATATACGTTCTTGGCAGATGATCCAGAAGTGGTTTGCCATTGCCTTCTTCTGTGTGTGAATGAAGTAATTGTTGGGATGCCACGGAGAAACCGGGGAAGCCCCCGGAGGAAAACTCCGTGTTGCCTAGACCACGGCCTTGCCCAACACAAGTTATAAATTCGGCCACCGCCTTTTTTTTAGTGTTCTGTCTGACGACAGGTCCATATGCACAGGATCCTTCCATCCTTTTCTCGGATTGGGACCTGTTCATATACGTTCTTGGCAGATTATCCAGAAGTGGTTTGCCATTGCCTTCTTCTGTGTGTGAATGGAGTAATTGTTGGGATGCCA